GGGGGGGGGGGGGGGGGGGGGAACAAGAAAAGGTCTTTAATTGAAGTTTGAGAAATTACAACAAAAATGTGACGAAACTCCTATTACGAATACTACAAGAAAGAACCTGAAGAATGAAAATTCGTTGGGAATGTTGCAAGGAAGAACATCAGGAAGTCATATAATTTTTTACAATTTCTAGTCTATCCACTCAAATTAACTTGTTTGCCTTCAGAGAAGGCACAGATTCCTCTTCATAAAAAAAAAAAAAGCCCGAACTACTTTTGCTTTGATGATACCGATCCATGATAGCTCTCTTTTTAAGTCCATGAACACATGATCCTGAATTATTCAACTATAGGAACAACAATAGATACATGGCACGAGAATGGGAAACAAATTGACTATAAACCTAGTTTGTAGCATTAAGGGTTTTGAATAATCCTCTGCGTTTTCTACCCTGATCTTCATAGTGTTTTGTGCTTCCTGTACTCATGGGTGAACCTTCCACCAACATGCACCGAGTATCCAAGTTTGACGTATGGTGGACACCCACATACCACAACTCCCCCTCCCACTTCCAGTTTGTCCTGTAAATAATGTCCAGGCTATCTAGATGATCGGTTGTTTGAAATAAGACTCTTCTTAACCTCTATGTCCAAGCCTAGGATTATTCTATCATTTTCTCTTGGCATATTTCATTTAATTAATGCTAGCTATCACCTTTTAATATTCCAGTCTTCTTTACTGACAATATGAGTTGCAGAGCAAAGTCGAAGGGATGACTTGGAGTCGCTTGGTTATGTCCTTATGTACTTCTTAAGAGGAAGGTGATTAGTTTTCACCACTTTATTTTTGTTATCGATTACAGCCATTTCCTTTCAGATGATTTATTAACCGGCATCCTTTGTTCTGGTAGTCTTCCTTGGCAGGGACTGAAAGCAGGAACCAAGAAGCAGAAGTATGAGAAAATTAGTGAGAAAAAAGTTTCTACCTCTATTGAGGCAAGTTGTTTGTAAATGTAAATTATGGAACATCTTTAACACTACAATTGTGCCTAAAAGAATTTAATAATTTTCTAGGCATTATGCCGTGGATATCCATCAGAATTTGCGTCATATTTCCATTACTGCCGATCACTACGTTTTGATGATAAGCCGGATTATGCTTATCTGAAAAGAATATTTCGTGATCTCTTTATTCGTGAAGGTTTGAGTTAGTTTATTGTTTTCTTTTTTTTTTTGCTTGTTGCTAATTGCACATCGTTAAATTCCTTAGCCTGTTCTTGGTTTTTTTGCTACAGGTTTCCAGTTTGATTACGTGTTTGACTGGACGATTTTGAAGTACCAGCAGTCGCAGCTGGCCACGCCTCCAACCCGTGCCCCAGTTAGTTATATGTGGCTTGCTTTTGTTGTGCTACTGTTGCCTTTTCTTTCAACCAGTAGTACTGAATGTGCTTCTATTTCTATAGGGTGCCGTCGCCGGAACCAGTTCTGGAATCCCTCCTGGCATAGCGAATGCAGATAGACAGACAGGTGCTCTTTTAGTTTTGGTTAATTTTTTTTTTTCCTTTTGTCCCTCGGCTTTCGTTGGCGGTCGTAATCCCGTAATCCCGCTGCGATCAACTATTGATTGTTCTTATTCCCTCCTTTGACTTAGGTGGAGAGGAGGCTCAACTAGCTGGGATGTCTTTGATGGATTCATCTAGGCGGAGGGCATCCGGGCAGGCTATAAATTCTGGAACTTTTGCCAAACAGAAGAGTCCAATTGCCAATGATATTGCAGTTCCAGCTCCTAAGGATGCCGTGGTACGTTGAACAATTAATTTTGTTGTTAATAAATTATATGTAATATGTACATCAATATCGTAGTTCAAGCGTGCCAGTCTTTTCGTCCCTAATTTGAAAGATTCGAGTTCTCTTGCGGTGCAGTTTTCAGGCGCTAATATTGTGGGGCGATCAAGTGGGTCATCAAGACGTGCTGTTGTGTCGAGCAGCCGGGATCCTTACATGGTAAGCGAATCAGATCCACACCGCTCCCGAACGACGGATGCTAGTCCCAGGGCATTGCACAAGAGCATGAGTGCACAGAGAAGACCACCAGTTGGACCAGAGGATCCAAAGAGAAGCGCGTCCGGAAGACACACAGGATATGTAAAGAACTATGACTCTGCTTTGAAGGGAATCGAAGGACTGCAGTTGGAGAATGAGGAGAGGGTACATTATTAAAGCACTTGCATCTACAACAACTTTCTGGTGTGGAACGTTTGAAGCTCTGTTGAATTTTGGAGGATTTTTCCGGTGGTTTGGGAACATATTCTCCACTTACGATTCCTCAGCCTTTTCAATTTAGACAACAAACCCACAAGTGTTTATTTGGGATTTGTCATGTAAATTCACGTTCGAAAGATAATAGTTCGTTTAAAATTTCTTTTCCTCTTGTATTTATTTCCCTTCTGTTATGTCTCTTCTAAATTTAAGGTAATAGTTTGTTTAAAATCTCTTTATTGATAGTTTAATAAAGAACATTGGAGTGTTCAAACGCTTAAAATCATCTATAACCTGTGTGATGATAACCCCAAAAAAAAGAAATAAAAAAATTGAGACAATTGTTTAAGGAAGGAACCTCTCTAGAAATTGGCGTCTTGGTCATTTTTAACTTGTTGAGTGGTGTGCATGCCTGGCCCTTATCTTTTGTAAAAGAAGCCCCGGTAGAGAGTAAGTCTGAACCCATGTGGAATTTCTAAATCAATTTACACACATAAGTTGAGTGAAAACATTGAATTGGATCTTGGAAGGTGTGGAAAAAAAGTACAAAGACTTATGTTTGGGGATGATATTTGGCTAATGAAAGAGGGTGGGATCGCTATGTTACCCGCAGAAAGGTAAAGTCGAATAGGCTCTTAGTCGATCCCTTTGCGGTTCATCAAATCGTGATAGTACAGTAGGACGCTCATCGGTTGACCAAGAATGCTAAATATGGACCAGAAGATCATGTTCCCAACCTGTCATTCAAATCAGACAGAGGAACACAAATTAATACCACAACTACAACAACTTCTAATTGTGTATATTTATAGCTTTCAATAGAATTATTTTCTTATCAGTGCCACTCTACATGAGACATCCGAACTCTCGGATAACGTATCTCTTAGTGTTTATCATTTTCCTCCCAGATCCTAACATGTAAAACTACCATCACCGACGTGTATGCCTAGTTGCAATTTGGTATTTCTAGGGAGAGAGTGGCGTACCATAGAGTTTTGGAACACATCTTGTAGGTACTTCGTTATCCAAACCAGCGGAACCTACATCAAGCAAGAAAATAGTTGAGCAAAGGGCAATAGAAGAAAACAGGGGACCAACGAATTCACGTCCAGCAGCACTAGGGGCTATCAGGTGAAATTTCATAACACGATGAAATGAAAATATTGACCTGAAACATAATTCCAATGAACGCCCAAAGCTTGAACATGTGGCAAGGAACAGCAATGCACAGCTGCAAAAAATATTAATAAAATAAAAAATTAAGTAGAACACATAATACACACTAAACGTCTAGCAATCTACATCAAGGTAGTCCATAATCGTGAAACTTTTGGGAAACATGACACCGTTCTTTGTGCCAAAAGAGAATGATAAATAAAATAGACAAGAATATAAGAGTTGAAAACCAAAAAGAATTATCGAGCAGCAAAGTTTTGATGGGAAACTAAAAGGCTGACCATAGATCATAACATTTAGTGCAGCATTTCGAAGTTTATCGCCTTCATATTCTTTCCTGAACTTAGCGTATAAAAAACTCATCAACAAAGCGATGACTTGAAAAGTCATCACCTAATAGCTTGCAGCAAGATTGAGGCCATAAGTTCAATAATGACAGAAATTTAGTTTTTTCCCTCAAGCTTATTCCAAAGGAATTGACCATTCCAAATCATTCCATCATGGTACAAGTACAACAAAATTTCCATCATTCTCATAAGCCAAAAATTTAATAAAGCATAATAAAGCTTTTAAGAAAACAAGAAATAAAAAACGGAGAAAATGAAATGAATTATCATACCTCATGGAACACCGCAGAAATTAGAAATGCTATTACGACAGCAACTCCCTGCATGTTTTTGTAAGAAAAAAAAACAGTGTTCAATACAATACCTTCCCATAAAACACTTAATTATTTAATACTAGTTCACGCATGAAATTCTCATAGTCCAGTAATAAGAAATTGACAAATGGCCAAGTCAGATAATGCAGATGACATTAAGTTGATTGTGGCAGGTTGCAATTAGTCTACAATATGTTAAAAAATGAGACGAGAAGAATCTCATGTAGACACCATTAACGGATGTCCCTATAATGAATACCCAACCCAATTCACCAAACCAAAACGTGGTGAACATCTGTAAGCTTGTGTGCACGTGTCATTCCTAATCCATCTTCTTTTGGGAAAATGACTCAATGCTAGTCTAGAATATTGTCCACAATCAATATAATAAAAAGATATAGTCCATTCAATATCGTGTCAACACTATCACATTGGACATACAGATGCCAAATTCCTTGGCCAGATTAATAACTGTAGATGAATTGGTGATTTATTGAAGATGAATTTCGCTGAAGCATCCACCTAACAGAATATTTTGAATGAAGGAAATGAAAGCATCTTTTGGATGCTGAGCTCACTGAGCCTTAATAAATGGTGACAAGACCATCAAGGTGTTTGTTTATTTTTCTTCAGTGTCCCATGTATCATCTCTATCAAAATAATAAATTGCAATAAAATTAGCATAACCATCTCCTTTCATTTGGTAAACACATGTAACCAACTCAGACTCATCATCAATAATAGGGGAAGGAGCTCGAAGTATTTATCAATTTCCATGCATTTTTCAGAAAACGGTGAAATCAACATTTGAAGCTCAATATGCTAATTGCTAAATATGTATTAGGGAATGACAATACATGAGGATGACACCACATAGTTATCAGAAATACACTTGCAATAGACGTGGTGAGAATAAAAAATAGCACAAAGAACATACATCAAGTACCTTCGGTATCCCATTCCTTAGGCATGGAAAATAGACGTGGCGAACCATCCATTTGTGGACAGGCTGTTTACAGAAGACAAACCAGTAGCATAGTTATAATAGATCACAGTTGAGAAAGAAAATCACTTTGAATGAATATGGGCTGAGAACATACCATGTTCCACATTCTCCAATACTGCAGCCAGGGTGGCATAAGAAAGATAGACACAATCAATACAAATAGTTAAAAATATCTTCCTAGAAAAGGGAAGGGGTGAAAAAAGCATAAGAAATATTTTTTGACTGGACATATATATACAACCTCTTCAACTGTTTTGGCATTCCACCAGTCCTTGTAGAACTCTCGATCTCCAAAACAAAGAAGCTCAGCCAATATATTTAACCTATCAGGTGAAACCAAACTTTGTAATTTCAAAGCTCAAACAAGTAATTTCAGCCAAAATGTAATACCCTGTTCAAAATACGTACCAAAGGTGGAAAAGACAGTAGAACATGCAGAGCCAAACATACAAATTTGGCACAGAAAGCTTTAGGATCCTCTCTGTTGCATACAAAAGGTTACCCTTTAAAGGGTGTTGAGAATTTCGGACAATGGGATTTATGTACTGCAAGATCAATAAATAGAAACACATAAAAGATCCATTTCGTGCAGCTTAAGATTAGACAGAGCTGGGGTATTATTAAGAATTAGGAGTAGGCAACGTACCTGTTCAATAATGAAACCCATAACCCCAGTGAATATTATTAGTTTAATAAACTGTCGAACTACCCAACCCTTTCGTATGTGTGTTGTTCGTGGGTAGCTTGGCTGTAAGATCAATGCAAAAAGTCAGTCAACAGGTATAAATCCAATACCACAATGGGTAAATAAAAAAATTGATAAGCAAGCTACACGATGAATAAGAAATTTTCTACACATGCTAAGTGGCAACTGATTCATGAACCAAACAAAATCTGCAATACATTTCCTTAGTGACAAAATACCTGATAACATAATGTTGGAGCAAGCATAAAGTAGACCAAACTCTTGAAGCTAACATTGTGAGGGTAGTAGTTTGAATCCAGGGAACTAGGCAATACATCTCCCTAAAGAAAAAGCTTGATGACATTAGAACAGATAGATAACAAACCATCGTGCATCATGCAGAAATAATTATAACCTCAAACCGAATACATATTTCTGACCCTAGCAAAGAATGAGCAGGATAAAATTTATATTCAAACAAACTTGGAAAATCCAGTAAACTCAGACAATGATGTTCAAGAATATCTTTCTGAACGAGAAAAGATAACAATATTCACAACAATAATAATCAAACAAACACTGTTATTTAAAACTAATAATTTATTAGGAACTCTAAACAACTCATTGGATATTGTTTTCCTGCAAAAAAAAAAAAAAAAAAAAAAA